CCTAAATAATTCTCAGTTAGTAGTTTCATAATCGGACGGTATACGCATCTAGCTCTTACTTCATGATACACATATTTGAAAGAAGCAAATCGACTTTACGAGCATCCTGACATGTCTGTATAAGGTATGCGGCAGAATCCACGCATGCAGAGGCTAGTTTTGCATGTGTTGGGTCTTCACAAGCTGTTGGTGTGGATGAATCACTCGAGGGGTTCCCTTGACATGATCGAACAAGGCGGGCCGTAAGGGTTGATATCAGAAATGGGCGTGTAACTAACATAGTTGCAAAATAATAGAAGCAACCAACTTGAATGCTTCCAAGTGTATGTTCCTGCTCCTTAGGAGAGTTGAGGTTAGGGGAGGCCGTCCGCATGACGTTGGGCAGCTCCTTGCTCCAACGATCTAGTTTCCGAAGAAATTGTTCTGCTGCATCCGTAGAAACAGCCTTTTGGCCGTATAATTCACTGGTAACCGTATCCATTAAATGTGTTATGGTATAAGAGGCTAGGAGGTGAACATGAGTTGTTTTGGCAATCAGACCGTTTTCAAGCTTCAAGCGTAAAGATGATGTTGCCGAAGGCCGTCCAAGAATAGAGCTCACAAGTAGGTCTAGGACGCAAAGACTCATCCAGGTTTGTAGCCTAAATGTCCCATCAATCGCGGACTCGTGAACTTGAGCCTGATTGGGGCGGACATACCTTTTTTCACTTTCAACTGGAGCAAGGGACGCATACGAATCTTCATCGTGAAGACCAAGGGCTACAGCAGCTCGAGTGGCCACGCCCAAGTACATGAAACCTGCATTTCGTCGACATGCACCTAACATATAAAATGCCATCAGGAGAAAAGCCCAAACTAATTCTAAGTTTGGGTCTTCCAGCATCCCCGAAAATGCTCGCTTCTGGCCACGAGTAAAGAACAAATTTACTTTCTGAACAGCAGCGGTATCTGCTTTGGGGCATTGGGCACCAATGGCAAGGATAAGGTCAGCAACTGCCAACCTAGAACTGTGGACGACGGTAGCCGAACTCTCCATCTCTTCAAGGAGCTGCGTAGCTTCAGAAGTTGATATAACATCTATAATCCCACTTGTCTATCCGTAGACAGTTTAGCTAAGTAAAACCCACTTGTGTTTCCTGAGAGGGGATAAAACTTACGGCAAGACGGTAAAGCCTCAAGAATGCTATTTTCTCATCAAACGTGACATGGTCGCCATTATATGACACCTCTTCTGCCGCAGCAGATGCATCTTCTAGCATGCTGTCGATTTTGGCATTGTGAGTAAAGCCTGAAGGGCCAGTATACTGAACCACAGTCTCTCGAATGAACTGTAAGAATGATAAAGAAGCGGCACCGCCAATGTAAACTTGGGAGAAACAAAGGTTAGATTCAGCGCTTCTGCCTTTCTTCAGCTTTGTAAAGTCAGCATACCCCTTTCTCCCCTCCGGTTCCTGAGCATCCGTAGATGTGTTTTATGAGGGGCTTCCGGCGATAGCGAACGCGGACCAGTAGTAGAAGAAATCGGCACTGGCGCTATGGATCGCACCTCGGAGCTTGAATGGCGTGACCCGACTTGCGACGAGGGCATCCTGCAGGCGTCGGAGCGCCCGCGCCGGACACAATGGCTACATGGAACGGCACCAGTGCATCGCTTCTTGGAGGCTCTGCAGAGGGTACATGCTTGAACAGTTCGCTGGCGCTTGTCAGGATGGACCTTGGGTCGCGGCATAGCAGGGTATCTCCATAATAGGATTTTCAAAGGCGGATATAATAAGGACGAGCGAGATGCTACAACAGAGATTTGACGTTTGTGGATGCTGTTGATTAGGTAACTTCCCCAGGACCTCGGCGCCGGCCCTCTGTCCTTTGGTAAGCCGTACTGATGATATCTAATATGTGCAGCGGTTACTCCTTTAAAGTAGGCCATGGCGTATGCAAAACATTTTAATTAGCAGTCTTGTAACGTGTGCGCATACGCTCAATAAACATATTGAGGGTGAAATGTCACTATACAACTGCCGTTTTCGCTGAGAGACTGGATACTCCGCAATAGGTGGATGAAGTACCGAGTAAAAGGGAATAAGAATGGATATCTTGAATTAAATAGGGTTATAATCTCAACAACTAATGCTACAGATGAAATGGGAAATGTGACAAGTAGTGCACCAGTCCTCCAGGTTGGAGCTAAGACGACGGAAATGGCAGATAGCTATGCCGCTCCAGATACTATGTCTTCACTTCTTTTATCCATGTCGTGCTTTGATCCCTTTTTCTGGCGCGAGCTTGAGGAAATGACCGGAAATATGGCCTATTGAAGTCCAGTAGTGCCCGAGTATAATGAGGAGTCCACCCACTGCCACCGAAGGACGTTTGAGGAACCTCCGTAGTTTCCCGTCCACTCCAGCCTCAACAAGCTCCCAAACATCGTCAGTTGGGATGCTCTGCATGAAGTCCCTGGATGCTCAGTTAAACCAACATAAGCTGTGGAGTAGGGAATGTGAATCGAAATTCGAGTTATTCAAACCCGAACAATGTTAAGCAGAAAGTTAAAACTCCGGCGCCCTCAATGCTTGAAAGGCATAAACCAAAGTGCTGCCTAGGGAGGGGACAAGTAGGCAGTTACAGATTGATTGACGGATTCTAGGATGAGCGGTTGTGATAGCAAAAAAAGACACGTCCACGGTCGCAGAGAGTGTGATGTGGCGGATTCTTCATATGCGATGCTAGGAACGACGTTTTTTGCCGTCACTGATTCAGAACCTCAGTTAGACGATTGCAGTTTCTGCAATCTCATTCTCACCTTTAATCACCCAGACGCTGGATTTGCTGGGAGACGATAATTCTAAACCAGCCTTATGAGTGTTATAGAGCTAGAACTCGGGACGTATCTTGGAGGAATCGTCTGCGATATGCCGCGATCTCTGTCGCGACTTTATTAAAATCCTTCACTTTATCCCGCCGCATGTCGTTGATGGTCCGCTTCAGCCCGGTGACATATTCTTCGCGCTCTGCTGGAGTTTTGCCTTCTCTCAAAGATCCCATCTCGACCAGAATTTTATCATCTGCGAGGGTTAATAGAGATGCTATGTCAGTGACCAAGCAGCAGCAGAACATTAGGGAAATTATATAACGAGTTGATCTGAGTAGACGATGCGAGGCAAAGAAAAAATAAAAAGGAGATCCGAATTTAGGGCAGTGGATCTTAAGGATAAACAGATGCAAAGAATCACTGAACAATGGAACATTCAATAAGTGCAAGGGATGATTAAAAATTTGAAATGTCAGCTCCTTCAACGCACCACTCAAAATCATGTCCCGAAAATGCTGGTTCGGGCATGATTTGTCATTGCAAACACCTCCTGTAGCTTCGAAAGTACACAGTGGTCTGTTAGGGTCGATGTGATGGCTATATGTCAGGGAGCGAAAACCTCCTTCAATGTCACTTATGAAATTAGGGTGATATCGATATGCTTTAAATAGTCGTAACGGACTCATGTAAGGAGTAAAATGCTGACCAGGCTCATCGACACCGTCCTACGAAATCAATTTAGTAACCATAGAGAAGATCAAATATATGAACAAAATACCTTTATACTCTCTTCAGAATCTGTATCTTGATATTTTTGCTCGGCTAGAGTTAGCGTTTGGACATTCTGTTCGAGCTGCGCAGCATGCAAGCTGTCGTCGGTGACAGGCCCAACTGGCGCTGGGCTGAAGGGAGGTGTCGCAGGGGGATCAGATTGAACCGCCTTCTCAGGTTCAGGTGGTTCGTACGCATCAGATATCACGGAATTTTCCCGAGAAGAAGCGATGTCTAATTCGGTCCGTTCAATTCGCGATGGGATGGGGATTTCTTGAACTGAGCGAGAGGAACTGCTAGCTTCGGATCTTGACGGCGCAGACGACGCTTGATCTTCATCGATCATTTCCTCATCACCTACGCTGCTTCCCATTGATTCATCCATGGCAGAACTAGAACAGGAAGACATAATACTATCCTCCCGTTCAGGGGCTGTCACAGTTTGAGCACTCGGCGTTTGTGGAGCAGCATCAATTACTTCTTGAGAAGTATGCGAGGCAGAAGACACGTCAGAAACGCGCCTTTCTTCAACGGAGGGAGTTGGAAGTGCCTGGGCCTCGGCTGAGAGGTTCAAGATCTGCGGATTAGTTTCGGCGCTCGGGGGAACCTCGACAATCTCGGACACGAATGATTCGTCTTGGGTTCGATCTAGCGAGAGAAAAGTAAGTTTTTCAGCAAGAGCTAAGTGAAATTGAAGACAATTTACCTGGAGTTTGTTCACGCATCTCAGACGCAGCTTCCAGGCGATCCTTTGTGTGTTGCAGTTCTTCAAGGGTTAGTCCATCAGTCTCGACGCCTAATTCTTCTAGCTCTTCAACTAAGCGGCGCTTGCCTTCCTTTCCTTTAGCGATTTCAGCAAGTAGCCTCTTTTCTTCCTCGCGGAATTGCGCTAGCCTAGCTTCTGACTTTGACAATTCAGCATCAAGTGCTGGTAAGCCGGACTCAATTTCCTTTTTTCGGAGAAATTTTTGTCGAAGCTCCTCAGCTTTCTTGGGTTCTAAAGAGGACCATGATCGAGTTAATGGGCTCTTTAAGTGCGTAATAAGTGGAGAAGCGGATGGGACAGTGGCGACCGTCGAATGGAAATCAGTACGACTTGGAGTACTGATCGGAGAGTGGACCTCCTGTGTGGTGTGTGCCTGGCTGAAATTTGAGGCCTTGGTGTCTCGCGGGAGATTGGGACTCGCCTCTATCGAAGACAGAGCAGACTGAGCCGGAGTTGTAGAAGATTGAACTTGGGCCGCGCGTTTTGCGTCGCGCCGCCGTTCCAATTCTGCTATTTTTTGTCGCATCATCGTTATTTCGGACCGTATATTTTCTTCATCCCTACCTTTGCCCAATGTTTGTGGCAAGGAAGTCGAAGACACCGACCGGTACGATTGGACGGGCCGAGAAGGGACATCCGAAAGTGGCGGGGCATCACGAATTGCTAATCGTTTGGGTGGTGCTGAATATAAAGGAGCCTTCCCAGCAGTATGCTCACTCCGCGTGAATTCATCCGTATCTACCCCATACATAGACTCATCTTCGCTGATATCGATGACTACTCTGTGGAGCGAACTCGAGCTCCTCGCATTCTGATCAGACTGCTTTTGTGGCGGTTCTTCGAGAACGTCATCAGTAAAATCAGAGGCACGAGGTCGTTTGCGATGGGGACGAACGGCAGACGAAGACGCTTCGAGAATAGCAGTTTGATGACTGTTTGGGGCGGCAGCTGTTCCAGACGTTATTGTTTCGGTCCCAGTCATGAATAAGCCCGGGATTCGGGTTTGAGCAGTCAATTCGGGATCCGGCGGTCGTTCGGGCAAGGGATGCTTCATCGGTAATGTTTGTAAGGCCCGCTGATCCTGGGGGCTTGCAACTGTCGGTGTTATATTGATAGATGATGAAGTTGTTGGTAACGGTGACCCAGAGACCGAGTCGGTAGTTGACTGAGATTGAAATTTGGCAAGTCCCATTTTCCTCAATTGCTCTATCCGCTGTCGTGCCAGCTCGGTTTGGGCCTTGTTCTTTTCTTTGGTTCGAATTTCGTCTGCGGATTGCGATGGTGGCCCTGAGAGGGCAACAGCGAGTTCGGGAGGGGCAATACTTCCCTTTGAAGCGACTACGGCTTTGGGCTCCAATGTAGGCTGAGTTTCCGGCTGCTGGGCGGCAATGGGCTTCCCGGCTTTAGCTGCTAGCATGCGAGCGATCAAATCTTTGCGTTCCAATGGTTTGCTAGCCGTTGCGTTACAACTGACTATTGGTGCAGCGGAAGTTATAGGCCTTTCTGACGATGACATGGTTGTGCTCATTATTTGATTCTGCGCCATTTTGGAGAGTGGGGTTGGGTTCTTTTCATTTTCTGAGATTTGTACCGTTGACTGGTTCGCGTTTGTCGCCTGGTTGTCAGAGGTTTCTTCAGCTGCAACTTTTAAGCCAATACTGTCATAGAGGCTCTTTAAGATTGTCGGATCTATTCCTTCGCTAACCAATTGCTTGTACCGTATGTTGTGAGGGGCTAGATTTAGGAGGGCACCTTGCGCTTGCATACGCAGCTGCGTTAATGACCTCCCATTCATGAATGACTCAGATCTGCGGGCAAAGTCAAGGTCGCTTGGAGTGATTGGATCCTTCAGGTTTTGTGTTAAGGAATGGCAGTGAGCTGGACCACTATCTTGATGAGGAGAATTTTGTTGGCAAGCTTCAGCTGATGTTTGTAGAACCGCAGGAGGCACTTTCAAACAGAGTTAGCAGTCACAACTATGTTTTGGGACATTTGGTTTGGTATACCTGTGTCAAGTCTGGTGAGAGATGCCTTCATTTGGCCGTTTGTGAAATGTTTGTCGGCCGGGGGCGATTTCCGTACATTCTGGGACTTGATTTGAGGGTCCGGAATAACGGTTTCCGTCTCTCCGTTGCTCAGCTCTCCTTCTTCGCGTCCATCTATATCCATACTATCTTGCTCCGCGACTTGGTCCGAGCCCGTGGGTTGTTCCTCCTCTATGACCTGCTCAAGATTATTTGGATGATGAGGGGCGTTGCCCTGTGAGTCATCTGCTGGCGATAGGAATGCTGGAAACCCCATAGAAGGGCCGGAGGACTGCGTATTTGCAGGTTGGGGATAATACGATGCCGTGTTCATATTTGGCATTGGAAAAGTCTGATGCGCTGGCAGCATTCCGTTGGCGAAGGGGGTCAGGCCCGGTATTTGAACAGAAGAGCCAAAATCCGTTCCATTTGTCCCATACAGCGGTTGTGGCGGCATGGCAAAGTGGTTGTAGGGCTGGTAAGGGCCATCTGTAGAGGAGCCCGATGATTGGTCTGGAAGCCAATGCGCGGGGAAGGCTTGGTTGCCTGCAAAGGGAGGAAGGGGGAAGCGCGACATATCTACAATACCAGCGACAACTGCCTTTCCGACGCGTCGCACCGAGTCAGACAGGTAGAAAAGCGAATGCAGTTAGGACAACTGCCTCCTTAGACAAGAGAAAGCGAAAAGAAAGGGACGAATAGGTCTGAGCACACAGATTGCAAGCACGCGAAGGATCGACCAGATCATTAGAGAAATCCACAATTCAATGGGAGATCAGACCATCGTAGCGCAGAACATCCAGTTAATGGTAGATGTAATGTATAGCTGGTCAATTGCAGACATGCAAGAGGGCTACCCATGCACAGTGCTGCTGCTGGCGGGCGCTGTATCTGGGGGATGAGGTGGCAGATGGGAATCGAGTTTTGGAGATTCAAAAAAGTGCCTGGATGTTGAATCCCGGCTAGTCCAAAAGGGGATGTCACATGACGCAATTAGTGCCAAGACGCTAGCTGCAGCACAGACCACCCTTGGCCCAACTGGAGCAAAAGTAAACAAACAGGGCTCATCCGGCAACAATCCAATTCACTGGCAGAAAGTGATCCCATTGCCGCCCGTGGATGCGCGGTCAACTTCTGAAAACCGTTGAAGGACTGATGTTTATGATGGAATGAACCTTTGTATTATCTGATCTCAATTGTGCCTTTCTTCTTGTCACCCTTTGACAGATTGCTTCCGTTACAATCTGCCGTCTTCCGGAAGCCTTAATATCCTACCTTTCCATCGCCCCTCCGTATCTGGCAGCGCGTCAAATGCGCCATTAATTTGCACTTACACTTCGAGGAGCTATGAGTTCTCCTTCAATAAATGTGGCGCAACGGCGTCAAAATCCATTTAGTCGAAATTCCCTTTCTCCCTCTCCCGCGCCACGAGAGACACTGGCAATAAGATCTGGCAGGCCCAAATCCGTTGCGTTTGCGGCACCGGCTCAAGTACATCCTCCAAGCCATACCAGGACGTCTTCGTTTGTGCCGTCGACTTCGGATACTTTTCTAGGCCAGCTAAGCAGACGACGATCCAACTCCGTACGAAATAACACGCCCTCTTCTAGTACATTCGCCCCAGAGTTTATTAAATATGAGGAACTTCGAAAAGGGGCAGACCAGATACGAGGACAAGAAGGAGATAATGACTTTTCGGGGAAGAGATATGTTTGGCTAAGAGACCCAGAGAAGGCGTTCATTCGAGGTCTAGTTCTCGAAGAGACGGAGAACGGCATGCTAGTTGTTCAGTGCGATGATGGCAGTGTAAGTTTGTATAATTTATGGTTTTTACTCTTGAACATGCTAACCTCTAGGCTTCTAGAGAAGGGAGATTAACATCGAAAATGTTGACAAAGTCAACCCTGCGAGATTCGATAAGGCAGACGACATGGCAGAACTCACTCACCTAAACGAGGCATCAGTTGTCCATAATCTACACAGTCGGTATCAATCAGATTTAATATATGTACGAAAAGCCTTATACTCTTTATTCAAGAGCATGCTAATCATTTCAGACTTATTCTGGACTGTTTTTGGTGACGGTCAACCCGTACTGCCCATTGCCAATCTATTCCAACGAATATATCAAACTATATAAGGGCCGAAACCGAGAAGACACAAAGCCGCATATTTTCGCAACCGCAGATCAAGCGTTTCGTAGCCTCGTGGAAGAGGGAGAGAACCAAAGTATCCTTGTAACGTACGTCAATCCTTGTTTTCTTGTGTGTTACGCGATCTGACTTAATGCTGGGCTAGTGGTGAATCTGGCGCTGGCAAAACCGAAAATACCAAGAAGGTTATTCAGTATCTTGCAGCTGTTGCGACGGGAGAATCGAAATCAGTATCGAAACACATGTCCAACCTTTCGCAGCAGATATTGAGGGCAAATCCGATTCTTGAGGCCTTTGGCAACGCCCAAACGGTAAGGAATAATAATTCCTCACGTTTCGGCAAATTTATTCGTATCGAATTCACGCCGTCAGGTCAAATATCGGGTGCATTTATAGACTGGTACCTCTTTGAAAAATCTCGAGTTGTGAAGCTCAATTCGCAGGAACGCAGCTATCATGTATTTTATCAGCTCTTGCGAGGCGCGGATGCAGAGACGAAAGAGCTCCTTCACATGGCTAATCTCGATATTGAAGATTTTGCCTATTTGCGAAATGGAAATGACTCAATTGCCGGAGTCTCAGATGCTGACGAGTGGAATACGTTGATGGAGGCTTTCAACGTTATGAATCTGTCACAAGTCGACCAGCTAGCAATACTACGCACCATCGCCGCCGTTATGCATCTAGGTAACGTTTCCGTGGGAAAAGAAAGTTCCCGGGCGGACCAAGCGAAACTCCTGCCAGACTCATATCCAAGTGTGCAGTATGCCTGCGACCTCCTTGGTGTGCCTGTGGAGCCTTTTGTGAAAGGCTTACTTCATCCTCGAGTTAAAGCTGGTCGTGAATGGGTAGAAAAGGTTCAAACTCCCGAGCAAGTTCGGTTCACGCTCGATGCACTAGCAAAAGGCATTTATGAACGCGGATTTGGTGACCTGGTTACTCGCATCAATAATCAGCTAGACCGGAGCAGAATTGGTGGTGATGATAGCTGTTTTATCGGAGTTCTCGATATTGCTGGCTTTGAGATCTTCGAAAATAACAGCTTCGAGCAGCTCTGCATCAACTACACCAACGAGAAATTGCAGCAGTTCTTCAATCATCACATGTTCGTTTTGGAGCAAGAAGAATACTCCAGGGAACAAATCGAATGGCAGTTCATAGATTTCGGAAAAGATCTCCAGCCCACCATTGATCTAATCGAACTATCGAACCCGATTGGTATATTTTCCTGTTTAGACGAAGACTCCGTGATGCCTAAAGCAACTGACAGATCCTTTACTGATAAATTGCACTCGCTGTGGGACCGCAAATCACCGAAATATCGCGCCTCGAGACTTAGCCAGGGATTCGTTCTGACCCATTATGCTGCAGAAGTCGAGTATAAAACTGAAAACTGGCTCGAGAAAAACAAGGACCCTCTTAATGATAACGTAACACGCCTGTTGTCCACTTCCAACGACGGGCATATTGCTAACTTATTCTCCGACTGCGCTGATTCGGATGCGGGCTCCACGACTGTGACAAGAAGTTGCGTTAAAAAGGGGTTGTTTCGTACCGTTGCCCAAAGGCATAAGGAACAGCTATCGGATTTAATGGCGCAGCTTCATTCCACGCATCCGCATTTCGTTCGTTGCATCTTACCGAATCATAAGAAGAAGCCGAAATTATTTAATGGCCCTCTTGTTCTCGACCAACTTCGATGCAATGGTGTTTTGGAAGGGATTAGAATCGTTCGCACCGGATTCCCCAACCGACTGCCTTTTGCCGAATTCAGGCACCGTTATGAAGTTCTTTGTCGGGGGATGCCAAAGGGAATTCTCGATGGCCAAGCAGCGGTGCACATGATGGTCGAAAAGCTGGCCCTGGATACCTCGTTGTACAGGATTGGTCTCACGAAAATCTTTTTCAGGGCTGGAGTGTTAGCCGAGCTTGAAGAACAGAGAGACACACTGATACGGGAGATTATGACAACGTTCCAGTCTGTCGCTCGAGGGTACGTGCAGAGACATCTCGTTAACAAACGCCTATACCGAGCAGAGGCAGCCCGAATAATCCAGCGAAACTTCCATGTCTATTTGGATCTTAAAGCATCCCCATGGTGGACTTTATTCATGAATATGAAGCCTCTGCTTGGTGAAACCCGTAGTGCGGCCGAGGTCAAAAAGCGGGATGAACGGATTCAGCAACTTGAGGCGAAAGCCCAACAGGATCAAGCAGCTCTGGAAGAAGAGAGGCGCCGAGCGGATGCTGAGATGCAACGTATCAAGAAGACTCTGGAAAGTGAGCGAGCCTTGGCTCTTGACAAGGAAGAAATCTTTAAGAGGCTCCAATTGCGCGAGATTGAGCTTACTGAAAAGCTCGCAGGTGCTATTGCCGACCAAGAAAGCCTCGAGGACCAGGTTGATGAGCTTATTGCCTCAAAGAAAAGGACTGAAGATGACCTAGATCTGAGGAGGTCGCAACTCGAACAAGCAGCGCAGTTAATGAGCCGGCTGGAAACCGAGAAAAAGGAGCTTCAGATGCGGATTTCCAAACTTGATCACCAATTACAGACTGTGGAGGAAACTTACCAGCAGAAGGACAGCGATATTGAGAAACTAAACCAGGAAATCAAAGTGTTGAATAGCCACCTCAGTTTGAAGGAACGGAAGTTGCACGATTTGGAGGCCAAAGTCCTCAAATCTGGCCAGGACCTCGATATAAAACTGGCCGATACAACGAAAGAGTTGCAGTCAACAAGACAGCAAGTCAAGGAACTCAAGGACGAGAATCGGGATATTCAGCAACAATTGTCCACACTGTCCTCTACGTCCACTGACTTCGAGCACTTGCTTCGCCAGAAGGAAAGCGAGTTGTCCATGATTCGAAGCGATATAAGAAAGCATGAAGCTGACAAGAAGAGGCTCGAGGCGGAGAGAGATAGTTTTTCAACACGACATGGTGACATGCAACGGAGAATTTATGAATTGCAGGCCCAAATAGATGCCATGAAGTCGGAGAACGCCAATCTAGAACGGGAAGCTGCGGACGCAAAGAAACTGCTGGAAGCTAGAATATCCGAAGACGCCCAGTCAGGTCAGACGAGAAAGATGCTTGATCAACAAGTCAAAGACTTGAAGGCCCAATTGTACCAGGTGCAAACGGAACTAAGCCGCGAAAGGCAATCTAGAGACGATGTTCAGATGCTTGGAGAACACAGATATGCCCAGCTCAAGGAAGAGTTCGACAAACTCAACGAGTCAAAGATCACCATTGAGAAGGAAATGTATATTCAGCAAGACGCGCTTAGGCGGGCCAAGGAAGCGCGCACGGCAGCTGAAGAATCTCGAATAGAACTGCAAGCAGAAATAATCAAATTGCGCGAGCGAATTACAAAAGCGGAGAGTGCACGGCTAGATGCTGAGACTGCTGCGGAAACGAAATTGAAGGCACAAGCCAATGAGCGAGTTACCAGTCTACGGAAGGAGCTGGATGCCAAAATCAGACAGCTTGAAGAGACGGACGCCGAAAGGACGCGGCTCGCTGCTCAAGTTCAGAACTTGAGCAAGATAATGGCAGAAAAAGAGGATTTCAAAATTCGGAATGATCAGCACAAAGAGCGCCTGGAGCGGGAGCTAGTCACTGTTAAAGGCAGGCTCGTGGCATCAGAGAACGATAATCGAGCACTTCTCAACAAAATCCAGCAGAAGAATCTTGACATTGCACGCTCCAATTCACGGGCAAGTGATACCCAGAGAGCGCGCCTGGCACAACTTCAGAATGAAAAGGTTCGATTAGAGGAAACGAACAAGAAACTAACACGTCAGGTTGGCGACTCTCAGCTGACCATTACCTCCCTGGAGAAGCAAAAGGAGAAGCTTGCGCTTAGCCTGGAGGATTTGAACCACGAAGTTGCGCGGGAACACAAGGCTAGTCGAAATGCAGAAAAAGCAGCAAGTGCATCGAATATTCAACTAGCGGAGGCGAATCGAACCCTCGAAACCGAGCGGCAGGCCAAAGCGCAGGCTCAAGCAAACACTCGGAGACTTCAAGACTCTCTTGATCAGGCACATAAAGAGATCCAGGACTGCCACCAACAGTTGATTTTGCTGCACAAGGTCTTCAGCCCTGAAATCACAGAAATTCCGGCTTCATGGGAAGAAGTAAAGCCAAATATCTCCAAACAGGTGGATATGGCGGCAACTTTGGAGTCTGTTCAGGAAAGCCTCCGAGTGAGTGAGGAGAAACGTGCCAGAGCTGAAAGCCAACTAGCAGAAATGCGCCGTCGCCACGTTGATGAAGTTGCAGAACTTGATGCACGATTTTCCTCGTCAAAACGTGCTCTTCTGGAGGAAATTGATCTCAACCAGGTTGCCAACACACGATCACCTGGCCATTTCCGTAAAAACTCCGAACCCTTTAAGCGTTACTCAAATCCCTCCACACCTAACCGTCGATTTAACCTCATAGAAACGGCAGGCGACTCTGGACGGTCGGATAGAACGGTGGACACTGTAGCTTTCCAAAAACGAATGGACCTTGCTGCTGAGGTTGAAATGCTACAGAACCAACTTCAAATGTCTGAAATGCAAAATCGGCACCTGCAAAGTCAGCTTGATAGAGCAACACCTGTTCGCGATACTTGGCAAGATGAGAGTCCCTCAGTTCGAAGAATGAAACTGCTCGAGCGAGAAAACGGTCGCTTGCACGAGAAACTTGACGATTCCGCTAAGAAAGTCTCGGCTTTGGAAAGAACAATTCAATCTGGGGAGCTCACGCTTCGCGATGTTCAAGCCAAATCACATGAAGAGCTCTATGATCTTCTCAATTCGCAGGAAAACTCAAGGAAATCCCTGCTGCAAGTTCATAAGTCGACGTTGGCCGACTTGACCGAAGCGAAATCGCAATTTGACAAACTCAAGCATGCGAGGTCGAGTATGGAGGTCGAATTGAGAGACGTCACTTCTGAGCTGAGGGATTTGCAACTTGCCAGAGAGCAAGATGCCGCCAGTCGTAGCCAATTGCTACAAGAGTTTTCAGATCTTCAGATTCGCCTAGACGCCGAAGCTTCTAAGGTTGTGGACTTGACATCTAGCTTGAGTCTGTATAAGAGCCGAGCCGATGAGTATTTCAGTAAACTCGAACAAGCTGAGCTTGCTGTTCTAAAAGCCAGCCGAGCCGAACAATTTGCTAAATCACAGGCTAAGGAATTGGAAGATTCTTGTGCAACGATCATGGCAGAGCGGAAGCAAATGGACAATCTTATCGAAGACCTACAGCGGCAAACACAGTCTTATGAGGAAAAGATCGAAGATCTATCGGCGGACTTTGATGCAGCACTGCAAGCAAAGAGACGACTTCAAAATGAATTAGAGGATTATCGGAGCCAGCGAGCTATGGATATCGAAGACAAAGAAGCATCCATGGAGCAAACTCGGAAGAAATATCAAATGGAGTTCTCAGGGCTCACGAGCGAACTCGAGATCGAACGAGAAAATGTTCTTCATATTCGCGGCGAAAATACTAGACTCCGTGAAGAACTGGAGGACCTCCGGTCGAAATGGGATGATGAAGTTCTTAATAGCTCAACATGGGCTAAGGAGAAATCTCGAATGGAGATGACGTTACAAGATATTTCCAACTCCCGGGAGGAAGCTATTCGTGCTCACAACGATGCCCAAAGTAAAGTAGTGTCGCTTCTTTCACAGGTGCGGAACCTGCGAACCTCGTTCGATGAGGTCACAGCGGAGCGTGATCAAGCTACGAAGGAGAAGAGAAGCCTCGAAGGGCGTCTAGCTGAGACCGCGGAACGTCTTGAGAGCTTAGCGAACGGCGAAAACCCATCCATGCGGAACGCTGCTGAGATGGACCGCGATTTGTTGGAATTGAAGTCCAAATTGGCTCAGCAAGAGGATGTAGCCACCGCTGCCGTCGGAAAAATGAGGCGGGCAGAAGCACTTGCGACAGAGATCCAGAAGGAAATGGTCGCTGAGCGTGAAGCAACTGCCCAGCTGTTTAAAGATAAAGCTGCACTAGAAAAGCAACTTAAAGAGGCACAATTGCGATGCATTGATTTAGAGACGAAGGGGTATTCCTCGGCTAGTCAAGACGTGAGGTTTTTGCACAAACGGATACAGGAGGTAAGAGACTTCTGCCAGTTTCCTTTTGACGCGTGACAGGTTATGCTAATTAATTTTGTTACATTCAGCTTGAAACACAACTCGAAGACCAAGAGTCTAAGCGGAGTGCCGAACAGCGATCTGTCCGCAACGTGGATCGGACTGTCAAAGACCTTCAGTCCCAAATCGAGCGTCGTGACAAGATGAATGCTCAATTGACCGATGACATTGCAAAATCAAGGGACAAGATCGAACGCCTTCTGCAAAACATCGACGAGCTGCAGACCAGCGAGTCCGAGAATCAATTACAGGCACGTCGTGCGGAGCGCGAATTACGCGAGGAAAAGGAGAAGTCCCTCCGATTAGAGAGAGAATTGGACGGCTGGAAGTCCTTGCGTGTGGAAAGGGGAAGCGCCATTGCACGCAGCACCACTTTCACGGGACTGAGCGACATTGGTATTGGAGAACGATTTGGTAGTCGTCGGGGCAGTGGTGTATTTGTGGGCGGAACAAACGCCGTCATCGAGGTTCCGCAGAGGAAGACGAGTAACACGAAGGGGTTTTTATGAGTATGCTGATTTGATCCAGGGAGGCTGTACTGGCTTGCATCATGTTATGTGTGTCCATTGGCGGGCGTCTTTTGTATGTGCTGTTGGATTTCAGCGAGTTTGATTGAATGTTTGTGAAGATTTCTATGAAGATATTCAACGAGAGCCGGAGAGGTCTCACCTGCCTAATCCGGGTTAGCAAATATTACATAATATTTTCAATGCCGTGTGTCACCGCCTTTGGGCCAGCCAATCACAACAAGGCAGGATGACGCCATTGCAACCTCAGCTCGTCGTCGCTGCTGCACCAGCGAATCACAGCAAAACGCGGGCATCGGCTTCTTTGGGTGGGGACCTTCGTTTTGATCCTTCTTGCGGGCCGCCATTAATCATCATGCCATCCAGTTCGGAGCGCCTGTCTGTCTCATCTGGAGAGGGCAACAGGCTGTTTGGGCGCGTCAAAATCGAAACGGCTTTCACGATGTTCTGAATGACAGCATTCCGGTTCGGTTTGTCCAGGCCCTGTCTCGAACCCAGCCAACGGAAGCCGTCGCGTGAGGTGTCAGGATGCGGGCAGCAAGGCTAATAACCGGGTTGAGACCTTCAATGGTCACACGGTCCTGCATGAATGTTGAATTTTATAAACAGACCTCGAGCTTTTCCGGTCGGGCTGCGATACGGGCGTCTTCACCTTCAATTCGCCTCGGCAGGCGGTCGATACAGTCTCATCAGTCTAACAGAGCGCAAGCAACGGCCGCTCAAGATCCCCGCGTGCCGCAACAATACGATTCTTCGAACCCAGCCCTTTCTTTTCCGTGCCTGGATGCATTGGAAGCCAAATCCGCGTTACTCTCCACGAGGTCCCTGTCTTCTGGGCCGGAACCGTCCTACACAACGGGTCGTCACGAACAGTTCCGGTCAGATCAGCTCCTGTTACTAGATTGGGGTGGTGTGCTACCGGAATTCGAAATCGCGTATGAGACATGGGGGAAATTGAATTCGCAGAAGACCAACGCCATACTGCTTCACACGGGTCTATCAGCATCAAGTCATGCCCATAGCACAGAGACGAATCCAAAACCCGGCTGGTGGGAGAAATTCATCGGCCCCGGCGCACCGTTAGATACGGACAAATACTTTGTGATATGCACAAACGTTATAGGGGGCTGTTTCGGCAGTACAGGGCCGTCATCAGTTGACCCGTCGGACGGGAAAAGATATGCGACCAGGTTTCCTATCCTGACCTTGGACGACATGGTCCGCGCGCAATTTCGATTGCTGGACTCTTTGGGAATTTCCAAGTTGTACGCATCAGTGGGATCGAGTATGGGTGGAATGCAGAGCTTAGCGGCAGGGGTTTTATTCCCAGAAAGAGTGGGCAAGATCGTTAGTATCAGTGGCTGCGCCCGCAGTCATCCGTACAGCATCGCGATGCGACATACGCAGCGCCAGGTGCTCATGATGGACCCCAACTGGGCGCGAGGGTTTTACTATGATTCCATCCCCCCACACTCAGGCATGAAACTGGCTCGAGAAATCGCTACGGTAACCTATCGCAGCGGGCCCGAGTGGGAGAAGCGATTTGGCCGGAAGCGCGCAGACCCAAGCAAACAGCCAGCCCTTTGTCCAGACTTTCTGATCGAAACGTACCTGGACCATGCTGGTGAAAAGTTTTCCCTAGATTACGATCCGAACAGTCTCCTATACGTCTCCAAAGCCATGGACCTGTTTGACCTAGGCCACTCCCATCAACAGGCAACTCGCCAACGGCGAGCGAAAAATGAGCTGATAATTTCTTCCAGCTCCCAGCCACCTCACAACGATCCATCGTGCAGTCTTACCCTCCCGGAAGAACCATATGAAGAACAGCCAGCGGAGTTGAGCAGCGTTTCATCGACGGATGAGTTTGTTATTTCGGGAGACTCTTCCGTCTCATCCTCCCTTTCTACCCCGGGCCCACCCGCAGACTTGGTTGCCGGGCTAACACCCCTAAAAAATCATCCTATCCTTGTCATGGGCGTGGCTAGCGATATTTTGTTCCCAGCATGGCAGCAACGGGAAGTTGCGGATTCGCTGCGTGCAGCTGGGAGTGGCAAAGTGGAACATTTGGAACTGGGGGAAGATGTGTCCATGTTCGGTCATGATACCTTTTTGTTGGATTTGGAAAACATTGGAGGACCGATTAGACGATTTTTGTAGTATATATATATATATTTGGTTGCTAGATGTCTGATCCACTATTATTATTACTGACAGCAAACATTATTTGGAATGATTGATGAGATTTGGGATGTGTTCCTTTCGAACTGTATGTACATACATATATACTTAATCCTTGGGAAATGGTTTCGCAATTTGAACGCTCAACTGCAAAATCAATAAAGATAGAGGCAAGGAATACAAAGAACTTGCAAGGTCATCCACCACCACCCAAGCCCTCAGATTAGCTCTCTTAGGTTCTCATTGATTTCCAGGCAATATTCAATGGAAAGGTTTGCGGGAACCTACAACTCGTCTAATCCCCAAATTAACATATAGGGTATACTATCCCGGATACGGACAATATTTCTGAGTTGCAGGTATGGGTCCCCTTCCTTCGCCATTGAATGTATCAAGTGATCCAAATTGGATTGATTTGCCGGATACCATGCAACTTTGGCTTTAGACACAGGAGTCATCACAGGGCTTGGGTCGGTGGGTATATCAATGTCAAGGGAGAGGTAGCCATCACGGTGAGAAATGAAATAGCGAAGGGGATTCGAACATCAAACGTGGCCTGACTCAAATCCGATTTGATAATCTCCAGGAGGGCCAGTCGCCGGAATGTTACGCGGTTTTGACTTGCTGTGCAGCATCCATCAGAGTCTTCGCCGCTGTCCATCATTACAACAAGCGGTAAAAATTCCACGACTTATAAGCAAATCGGCTTATCAGGATAGGGCTCAAGACCACGATATCGTTGGAACCTACATTCGGACCAGACGTATTTTGTTAGCAATCTCTAGGCCGCTGCAACTACAAGCCCAAGGGGACTGAAAAACCGCAATATCAGATTGAAAACTGCATTAGATGTTCGTCAAGGGCATGCTACAACGCCGTTACCTTAATGTAGGCAACATGCGGAGCAGAGGGCGGTTTATACCCCGTCCTCGGTGTTGAAAGTAGTCATCATTAGGAAAAAATGGAGGGAAAATATTCTAATTCACATACCTGAACAAATAAAGCTAGTAGATCCAGGCAGCAAGCTTCTTTTAGTACTTATAAAGCATTTTGGGCAAAGAGGCTGTCGAAACCTGCGAGACAGAGGTTGGGGCAAGTGAAAGAAAAGGGCTAGAGGGCGCAAATGCAATAACGGCGGAATCAATGAGCATGCGACACGTCTCTAAGATCTCTGTTCATCTGCCAATCATCGATGTCTCTGTAATTGTGTGTCTGAGCTGGATCTTCCGCCGAGCCTTTGAAGGGTCAGGGATGCTCTCAGCTCTCAGGGAACCTCATGGTAGCTCAGTGAGAGTCATCATCATTGAGATGAGGGTTGGAGATAGCCTTGTGGTCAACAACGAGATGTGATAAATGTTGCGGCATGCTGACTAACCCCTTTTGCGTTTAGCTCAGCTTTCGCGCTAGACCTAAGGGGGCCAGCCGGCTGGCACACCATCACTCGACCAGCACATGCCTGAAGGCACACTCAATTGGCTACGGTGCTCTGGCAAACACATATATCAGAAGATTGGTACTTGCGATTGCTTTCACAATGGCCAACCCAGCGGTTTCTCTACGAGATGGAGCCCCCATCTCGTAGATCTCGACGCTCTAGCAACGACATCAAGGAAACAGTATTGGACTTTGCTCACAGTCGCACTCTTAAACAAGGCAACGAAAGGGCACCGAATCTACTAGGAACCATGGCGTCTTGGGTCCAACGTCAATCGAATTCGAATTACGCACAACTAGCAGGCGCAGCTCTTCTTTCAGGGACCGCCGTCGCCGCTGGAATTCTTGGGTACCAAGCTGTTAAACGAAAGGCGGCGGTTGAGCAGTTGAAGAGATCAATACCGGAACTCGACGAGACCAATCGTGCTCTAAAGGTTCGATAGCCATTTCATTTTCTCTTTTTTTTCAGTTCTCCAGATCAACTGATCGGTGAAAGTGAAGTTGTCAGAATTTGGCATTGTACCCCCTCCAAGTGTAAAGCAGCGCAAAGAGGATGAACGCAGTGCTGCTATTGCCCGTAGGGCACAGGATGGAGACTATGATGAAGGTGGGAAACAAAGCTACATTTTGGTTCAATGAATATTTGGCTTACAGTTTGCCATTCCACAGATCTCATTCTCGAGCAGCTCGCCCGAAATCGAGTATTTCTAACCGATGAGGGCCTAGCAAAACTCCGCTCTTCCTTTACAATAATTGTCGGCTGTGGTGGTGTTGGCTCTCATGCTGCGGCTGCTTTGGCTCGATCTGGCGTCGGAAAAATCAGACTTATTGACTTTGATCAAGTGACATTATCTTCCTTGAACCGACACGCTCTGGCCACCCTTGCAGATGTGGGATCCCCAAAAGTGCGTTGTATACAGAAAAGGTTGGAGCAAATTGCGCCGTGGGTAAAATTCGACCCTCAGGTTAATCTCTTCACCGAATCTGCGGCAGACGAATTACTAGGTCCATGGTCCATGCCAGGCGACAAAGATACTCGAAGTCCAGATTACGTACTGGATTGCATTGATAACATATCCTCAAAAGTTGAATTACTCCGCTATTGTCATTCTCGAAATATTCCCGTTATATCCTCCATGGGAGCCGGATGCAAATCCGACCCAACCCGAATCATGGTTGGTGACATATCCACCAGTCTTGAAGACCCTTTGTCACGCAGCACTCGTCGCCGATTAAAAGCCCTGGGGGTTACCTCGGGTATACCGGTCGTCTATTCCATCGAAAAACCGGGCCCAGGAAAGGCAGCATTATTACCTCTGCCCGAGGAAGAATTTGCAAAGGGTGACGTGGGCGAGTTAGGTGTCCTACCTGACTTTCGTGTACGCATCCTCCCAGTCCTGGGTACCATGCCTGCTATTTTTGGTTACACGTTGGCCAACCATGTCATTTGCGATATTGCCGGATACCCCAATGATTATAACCCCGGCGGCAAAGGCAGGGAAAAGCTGTATGATTCAGTATTAGGGACCCTGCAAGGTATGGAAGAGCGTCTTGCAAAATTTGAAAACAAAGATCCGGTCGGGTTGAGGATACCGATCACCAGAGACGATGTTGGTTATCTGCTGGAGGAGGTGTGGAGGGGAAAAAGTGTGGTAAGTGGCCTCACTACCCGGTTGGTATTGGTGCGATGGGAAAGGCCAAAGGCAGGATTCGGCGCCGACCCTGAATGGGAAAAATATGGTCAAAAGGGAGTCAGATTGCATCTTCGAGACCTGGTGTGCATGACCAAGGAAGAAGCGCAAAGACATGAACGAGAAGTGCTCAAGGGCGAAAAAACGCCTGCGGACCTCTATGATGAGCGTGTATTGCATAAAGTACGGGAGAGACTACGGGAGGAAGAAGAGTTCGAGAAATACCGATAGCAGCCATGCATATCCTGACCATACATTGTCTCTTTCTCCTTCTAGCATTCTAGGCCACAGCTTCAAAAATGCTTAGGCGGGCTGTTTGGGTTGCATAGTATCGATAAATTGTAAAATCGATGAAGATTTGGTACTAAAAACGATGCGGTATCCCGCCATTCAAGCAGTTGATACATTCTTAGACAGGTATAGTTATACCATACAGCATCTCGCTGAGGTAGGCGACATTGCGATGTTTGAAAGCTAGGTGCAAAGCTGATGACGAGGTGTTTGGCCTGCCAAAGGGGCCCTACGGTCCGAATATCCTCTGAACGAACCACAGCTTATTAGTTAGTGCTCCTGGGTAGCCATCTGGGTTTCCCAACGCTTCTGATGATATAACCTTGGATGCAGGGGACCCCAAACCCAAGCCCGAAATAACCAAGCCTCACGCGACCACCACAAACCGTCTCCAAAGAATGCCATCCTACAAACCGGGAGATAGGCCTGCCACTGTTACCTACCATCGAAACTCCTCTACCCAGCACCGACAACCACTCGTCAACCGGGGCCCCAGTGCGTGGCATGGCAAGGGTCCAAATCACCACAAGCCATCCATGAAATCCAACTTGATTATCACGCTCGTTACCGCACCCCGTTTCCGACGCTACCTGATAGTTTATCTGGTGCTGTTGGTTATCTGTTGGGCCGGCTGGGTTGGGTTCGCATCGCCCCAGCTGAAGGAACATGGGCAGATCGCGAAGGCGCTCGACGTGAAGAATCGGGATCGGGTGGGAGGCTGGTTTGGCACGAATTCCCTGCCGAGATTCGCGGACCTAGTGCACTTGGAGACCCTCGATGAGCAGCTGCTGCCATCGGAGGGGCAGGATGATATCCCGCTGGACCGACGAAGGCTGGTCGTGGTGGGCGATGTGCACGGCTGTAAAGACGAGTGTATGTGGGCGGTCAGCTATACAGATCAAGCATGCTTCTTTCCTTCTGTCTTACTACTTAGGTCGCTTTGAATCCTTTTCTAATTCCATTTTCGTATTCAGTGGACGACCTGCTCGACAAAATCTCCTTCGACGGTCAGACAGACCACTTAATCTTCGCCGGCGATCTGATCACGAAAGGCCCGAAAAGCCTCGAAGTCGTCCAACTTGCTCGTGAATACAACGCCTCGTGCGTCCGCGGGAACAATGAAGACCGCATCCTCCTGTACCATCGCGAGCTCCTCGCCTCAGGCGTCCTTTCCGTGCCCGGACCAAATACCAAGCTCAGCTCTGATGATGCTGCGGATACCGGCAAATTTCAGCCAGAGATCCTTCCATACGGAAACCGCAAAGAACACCTGTTAGCTCAGGCACTCGGCGATGAGGATGCAGCATGGTTACACAAGTGCCCTGTGATCCTCAAAGTGGGACGAATCGGGGACCTGGGCGAAGTGGTGGTCGTGCACGGCGGCCTGGTTCCCGGCGTGGAGCTGGAGAGTCAAGACCCGTTTGCGGTGATGACGATGCGCAGTTTGGATTTGGATACGCATGTTCCTAGCTCAAAGGCATCGGGAATGCATTGGGCAAAGGTAAAAAGGCTTCTTTCGCGAAGGCACACCTGGATCATTCGAGATGCTGATATTCAATCTCTAGATCTTCAACAAATACCAGTCCCTCCTGGCATCACGGCTCGCTTCTGAGCCGTCCTCCGTCGACGCTTCCTTGCCAACAACCGTTATCTATGGTCACACTCCCCACCGTTCGGCCGCCATCCGGAAATATACAAAGGGCATCGACACCGGTTGTGTGAGAGGCGGCAAGCTCACGGCTCTCGTTCTTGAAAACGGCGGCAAGACGAGAGTTGAGCATGTGAGATGCAAAGACTACGTTTCAGAAAGGAAATAATTGGGAAACATTGCGAATTTTATGACTTGGAATATGCATCTTGGTTGGCCATCTCTGGTGTTGATAAACATTTGGTGTATTCATCTGGTTGGCATTACTAGTTTAATTATATTACTGATTTATTTTGTAGCCGTTTCCCGTCTAATAGATCTATTCCCTCTCAAAATGATGTGCACTTGGAGCGTGCCAGAAAACTCAGGATCTCAGGCCCTTAGATAGCAAATCAAGCTTTCAGCATTTATCAGAGCGGAAGTGCAAAAAGTTATTGGAGTGGTAGGATATTAGGTGCTCCTTGGCCTGAACTACAGTGCTATCCATTCGTGTTGTATTACTGGTAGTCACCCAGATTCACCAAAAAGTGACGGGAGATCATTTAGAAGATAATTAGTGCATCTATATCACTGAGTATATTTCAGGAAGTCTCATGTGGGAGTAGAAGCAATGCATTGATATGATCCAACCAACATCACCGCAGAAGAAGCTCAAAGGATATACCTTACATCAGTCATCAAAAAGGAAAGATTATTAGGGGGAATCATCACAAGATTGGTATGTTATACAATTATGAGCACAGAACTGGGTATCAATGTGTGTAAAGAATGACAAAAGAAATTTCGTTATGTTCTCAATTAAGTAATCGACGGGCCACGCAACAATGATTAAACCCGATGGCGGCCATACCAGCGCCGGCGACGGCCACTATAACCAATAAGTTAGAACTTGAATTTTATCAGGTCGTCTTCATTGAAAAGGCCTCGCTTACTAGACGGCATCTCCAGCAATAGGGCGCGTATGACGATCACGAACGCGGAAGGAAAACCAAATTCCCTAAGAGGCACTTTATTAGTACTAGCCCAGCGCCAACGACATCTTTTCAACACCAATGAAACACATACTAGAAGCGCCGATGCAAGCCAGAAGATGGCAGAAAGGAAGCTAAATGCCTGGGAAGCTTTCCATCGGGCACAGCTTCCCCCATCGGTAATACGGCCCCATTCAAATACGCCTCCACAGTTGACATCTTCGAGTGCGTCGACCAAAAGGCCGAATGCAGCAAACCATGCGAATGACAGGAGTAGGTCAACTAGCAAAGAAAATAACATCAGTTCCGATACCAGTTAAACGCTGAACAAGTTTACGTACTGGGCCACATAAAGAAGCCGCTTGAGAATGGAAGAAGCCATAGTAACGCGAGTAAAATCGAGATGCCGGCTACGACTTCGGTGTAGATCCAGCGAGCCTCCGGCCAAGCGTCGACCTTGTCGAACGAATGCAGATAGGAGCCAATGATACCAGCAACAACCTATTAGACAAAATGAGCATCAGGCGGTTCACTTTCACCAAAGTGCTAGGAAACGTACTGCTCCGAAACCGATCTCTCCAACACGGAGGATAACGGATAAAACTCGAGATAGAATGGGCATCTTGCGCCTAGATGGGTTGAAACCACACGTAGTTTGGGATTCCTCAGTCTTAGGGAGGGAAGAGGGTCGGATCTGCAGGACCTTTATTGATAGCTAGAGAAGTAGAGGTGGTAAAGCAAATCAAAGAAAGAAGATACTCTCTGGTATAAAATAGTTGAAACCACCGAAGCGACCGGGAAGCAAAAGCAAGGAATCAGCTTTCTGACTTGGTCTCAGAGGGTCAAAATCACCAAGTAACGCCAGGCCATCCTCTCAAACCAAGAGGCGTCTGCCAGGAGAAAACTGACAATCGAGATGACGCATTGTCCTGCAACTCTGGTTTGCCATGCATCGTTTACTCAAGTATTTTCGCCCAGCTGCATGGGCCCACCAATGGGGTAATGCTTGTTCCAGCTCGATTATTCTGAGCAATCAGAACACATCTTGGGCTGGCTAATCAGTTTTGCCAACTATGAAGGAGGGGATTGATGTGGCAACAGAACGCTGGGCGATGAGACAGGGATTTCAGTGAGGCCAAGGGCAATGCTAACTAGTAGTTAAACAACTACCGGCATAGCATTGAGCTCCGGAAAGACCTTGACTGTTGTTGCTTCTGATCATAATTGAAGCATAGTGTACTTCATAGTGCTGTCACATTCAATGAAACCTATGGCTGTGCAGGAGGGCTGTCCATTCTGTGGCCCGTGATCCTCATGATGTTTGTCGTTGCAGATGAAGTGCGGTCATTGATGGAGAAGGAGATGGAGACACAAGCCACACTCACCTGACTTCTCACGTCATCAGTGGCTGACCCTTGGAAGGTTTGCCCATGACGTAACTCGTGAGATCAGGACATCTCCTGCAGTGGACATCTACCTAGAAGATATTAGATGAAGAAGATGATGCTCTGGAGAGGCCCTCAATCTGTTGAACTGATGATGAAAATACACATCAACAGTGCCAACAGGGCTTAGCACAACCTCAGCCAATGCCCCTGAAGTAGCAAAACTTGAACCCTGGTGAGATGAACAAAAGGCATTTAGAAAAGAACCGTTGCAAGTCAAATATAATACAGTTGGGAGGACAAAATCCAGCAAAGAGAGCATCGAGCTCTCGTGGCAAATGTAATCCCATTCATCCTCCATTCAGGAACCATTCAAATAGTTTCCTGAACACCAATTTTCCACCAGTGTCAATCACGTCCCCATGGCACGGGATCACTCTTTCAAAGTCCCACCGATCAATCCGCCTCAGCGATTCTTTCCATTCGTCACGATTCCTACCTGCAAGCAAGTACCAGGTAAATCTTTTCTGCCAAATCGCATCGCCCTCTGTGCTCCAAACCGGTAGGAACAGTTTTGTCAAGATACCCTGAGTTGCACCGCCCCTTTCCTTTTCATACTGCTGTGTAGCGGGTAGATTGAAGAACAAATCTGCCTGAAGTAGTGTTTTCGTAGGCTTGTGAAAAACCACAATTTCCCGGTTCGGGTGGCTTGGGAGATACTGCGTCTCGAACTCGGCGTTGAACTCGGGGAACGTGTCTGGGTTATGCCGGTTTTTTGGAGTGAAAACGAAGTCGACCTTCGACGTATCCTTGGTCTTGACATTTTTCTCCCTTTTCTCCTGCAGACCCTCTGGCCCGATGACCTTGGCGTCCGGGAATGCTGCTTTCCAATCCCCCAGGAAAATGTGATGCTCTAGATCTGGCGCGATGATGAACTTGATCGGGGAGTTGAGAGCTGTGATGATCCCTTTCACATGTTCCGTCAATGCAACGGGTGAGAAAACTGCGCTAGACCCAGACGCCATGCGAACTAATATGAAATGGTTAGCCAGAACGGGCTGCTTTTCCAGAATTAACTATGCAAGTCTAGCGCTCATAAGCCACAAACTCACTGATTGTACCCCGGCCCCCGATTCTGAGCAGCCCAAAACGAGAGAATGGCACACTGCATGTGATAATGTCTTGCCCTTCCAGCTCCCGGATTACCATAACCTCCTCCGGGTGTTTTGGGGTCAGGGTTGGAAACATCTTGCCAATTCGATCCCGAGGAGCGGCGGTTGATATATGGCGGAAGTGAAGCTTTTTGCCAATAGTCCTGCCAGGAGGTGCAAAGCAACCGGTATTATATCTGAGTCGAATGCGAATCAAACATCTTGGTGGGGCACATGGGCAACTAGTTAAAGAGTGTCGAATGACGATACCACAAAGACAAGGTGCCATCCCATGGAAATAAATAGGTTTGAGAGTGGGAACTTTTAATCGCGGCCCATATTGAACAGGGAGTAAGTTCAGATATGGCATCCTGTTGCAGCCCAAGTCCAAATATAGTATTCTTACAAACCATAGATGTTGCAGGTTCGGGATGGTTCATATTTTTAAATCCTTCCCTTGGTTGTGTTATTCGCCACCCCATTGTTGTCAATCTATCAATTTACGTACACTGACAACCTCCTAGCTGCGAACGGAACACTCCTTGGGGAATAAGAATTCAACATCGTAGGTTGTGTTTACTCTTCTTGGAATATGTACAGTATTCAATCATTACAAACTAATAATGTAAAAGCTTCCACCCTTTTTCCAATCGTTTCAAACAGATAACCTCCAGGACACAAACTCCAAAATCAAGGCCCAAAATGTCCTGGCCTGCAGGCGCACTATTATACTATGATACTTCTTCCTCTGTTCTATGGGGAATCAAAGGTCTTTGAATGTCGAAAACCTCAATGAGATCCTGAAAGGTCGGAAAGTCGAGACTGAAGACAGCCTGGTGTTTTCGGAGACCCTTGTTTTGGGCCTCCGATGGTAACGCTGCCGTGGACGGGTCTATAGAAAAGAAAGTTAGCTCAGCATAGCTACATTTTAAAGTGTAGACTCGTTTGCCTGAGGTCAACATACGAAGTGTAGGAAGGTCATTGGCATCGGTGGTAACCGCAACACTCCCGTCTCTGACCAAAAAGCTGACATAAAACAGATTTTCAACCGTTTGTCCAAAGGACTGGGGGTTGAGACAAAACTTGAACAACGGCACCCCACCATCTTCAGATATATTATATTTATACATGACTTCCAGAATTTGATCTCGGGAAGGTTTGTGCATTTTCGAGAGCTCCTCGCTGGCAAGTTTCTCGCCCGTTTGCTGCGTGGCCACCAAAATATTCCTTATTTCAGTACAAATGGCCGTCAAATTGGCAGTTTCTTGCTGCTCAAGGTCCTCAGCCTGAAGCTGCTGCGGGCGGATAGCTTGTGATGGGTCGATCCTTTCCTGCCTTGCTTTTCGCTGTGTCTGTTGTCGGGCCCGCTTCTGTGCCGACAGAGGGCCATATAAAAAGCCGGACAGTGAAGGCCGCACATTATGAGGGTAGCAAGCCCGTCGACCTAGCAGATCCCAGTTAAGCACGTCGTCATCGTCGTCGCTGTCGTCATTTCTGTTGAAGGTCTGCTGACGTCGCCGCTGGGAGTTTAACTGTTGCAAAGGCGATGGATGGTCCCCGGCTGTTGTACGCATAAAAGATAGACATTTCGACACAAACTCTTCCACATCGATACCTGAATCAAAGTCTCCCAGGACGGCCTGGGCAGTACGTTTATACGACAAATCGGCGGCATTTACAAGAAGACGAGAATCTATTGTGGCATCTGATGTTTGCTTCACTGACTTGAAAAGCTCATTGGCTTTTAGAACGGTTTCACGGATGCCATTGGACGCTGCCTGCATAAATTCGGTGCGTGAATCTAATACAAATTAGTCTGTCATTCTCAGCAAAGCGGGCAGAGACACAAGTGACCCACCGTTAAGTTTCGTCGCAAGATCTCTTAGGGCTTTGCGAACTGCTCTTCGTTCTTCAGGATCTTGGTCAGGATCGTAAAAATCCGTGTCAATCAACCCGCCGAGAGAATGATTGCGGGTGGCCTGACTATCTCCTCCATCCTCCCTTCTCGAGATCCTCCGTCGCTTACTTGATGCGTCGCCCATGTTCGACGGTGCATTTGCTGATAACGCGGAGTGACTCTTTTGCTTTCGTTTCTCCAAACGCGACGCGCTAGGTGAAGGACCGTTTTCTTTGTCTGAGGAAAACGAGGCTAAAGGGGACGCGGCATTAGAGCCTAGAGGAGTTGATGTAAGGTCTGAACCACTATCAGCTGAAATATCAGCCATTGCTCCAAGGGCGTGGTATCGGGTTTGAGCGCAGCGATGGTACTCTAGGGCGTCTTGTTTTGAACGGAGCAAACACGGAGGTATTTGCCTAGCTGAACGGGGTGAAAGAAGTAGTGAGAATCACCAATGCATAAATAATCGCGCCCGTAGCCTCAGAGTTCGTATGTATCCATAACGTCTGCGCATCAGCCTCTCTTCCTCGTCGTGTTGCCCCTAAAGTCCAAATTGGGTTCTCTGTCGCGGTGGTCCGTGCACAACACCCGCCCGGATTTACTAAATTCCGCATAATAAGGTTCAGCCTAGGGCTTCTCGAATGGCAAGCCCTATTGTCCGAGAACGGACCGCCAAGCCTGCTGCGAGCCAATCCGCCGGGTTCGCTGAGCCCGACGTTGACATCACTGAGAAAAAACACGCTCAATCAATCTGATAGATCTTCGTTACAGACTGATGCTGATGGTCCCGAGAGCGATTATGGGACAGACGCCTCTGTCAACTCCGTCACTGCAGAAGATTGGGACGTGGTAACGAGGATGGAAACGTTTACCTTCGCGACATCAACCCAGGTAGCTCTACCAATACGCGTCAAAATGTACGAAACAGCGTTTGTGTTATTAAACACCCTATCTGCTGCTTTCCCCGGCAACTAATCACGCGCTTCTAGATGCAATCTAGAAGGCAGACAGAGACAGATTCCCTTCTCCCAACTCCTTCGAAATGACAAACTTCGGCATCTTGGTTCGAGTAATAGCCCAATCTCCGACCTCTATGTTACGGTGCAGTTATGGGCGAGCTGCAAGCCAATAGGCGTTCCTATGCAAACCGCATACAAATCGTTCAAGGCTAGTCGCACATGGAATGAGTGGCTGGACTTGCCGGTTTTGGTCAAGGATGCTCCGCAGAACTCTCAATTAGCCATAACTATCTGGGACCTTGACCCAATGGGCGATGATTCATTCCACGGCCATTCAACTCCATTTGGTGGTACTACAATCTCCCTTTTCGACGAGGATGGCACACTGAAGAAGGGCAAGCAAAAGTGCAAGGTATATAGGCATAACGCAGCGGACGGATATTCGAATACGAAAACCCCGAGCCTTCCTGCTTCAAAGCGCCGAACTGGACAGTTCGTCGAAGAAGGCCCCACACAACAGGAACTAGAGCTGGAGCGTCTCGAGAAGCTCCTTAAAAAGCACGAACTGGGCGAGATACAGAGGGTCGATTGGCTAGATCAACTGGTGTTTCGAGCAGTGGAAAAGAAAAAGCTTGAAGCTGAGGAGGCCGCAAGGAAGCGTGCCCTACGGAATAAGGTAGCTCGAGAAAGGTTTCTGGCGGAGACAAAAGGAGAAACGAATGGCGCCGACGATGAGAGTATAGACGACGAGAATTTCGTGCTCTATATCGAGTTCCCGCGTTACGACTTTCCTATTGTCTTTCAAGATTTTGAGTACTCGCCGCCTCCTATCTCTTCGTTTTCCCAGCAGAATGCGTCTATGAGCCAAACACTTCGCCCGCCGCCCGAAGTGCGACTCGGCCCAGGGATTGAAGGTTCCCCAGATGACTACGATGAGTATCCCGTTATTAAGATCTACGACCCTGAGGTCGGGCAAAGAGGAAATCCATGTGAGGATAAACATCGTAGACTGGTCCGGAGCCATCGGACAGGAATCATGGACCGCGACTTGAAACCCAACTCAAAGATTCGAGATGAACTGAATGAAATCATGTCCTACGGCCCCACGCAAGAACTAAATTCGGAAGAAAAGGATCTGGTCTGGAAATTCAGATACTATCTCACGCGTGAAAAGAGAGCCCTAACTAAATTTGTCAAATCCGTCAACTGGCAAGATACTAATGAGGCTCGTCAGGCTGTTGATATCCTTCCAAGATGGACCGAGATTGATGTTGATGATGCTTTGGAGTTACTTGGCCCGACTTTTGATAACCCGGCCGTTCGGGCTTACGCGGTTGAGCGTCTTAGGAAGTCCGATGATGAAGAACTGTTACTCTATCTTCTGCAACTTGTGCAGGCCCTGAAATACGAAGTGGTTTCGCAACATACAGAGGATGATCCTACCCAAGACTCATCGTTAACCAACTTCTTAGTCACTCGAGCCGCCCAAAATGTTCTGCTCGGGAGTTACCTTCATTGGTATTTGATGGTCGAGTGCGACGACAATACCGGTAATTCCTCTGCTCATCGTGACCTCTTCGCACGAGTGGAATATTACTTCATGGTTGAGCTAGAAAGGGTCAACCCTGATGAGAGAAAAACGCTGTTGAGGCAAGGCGAACTTGTTACGGTGCTCTCGAAAATTGCTAAGGATATCCGGTTCTCGAAGGTCAATCGCACTGCTAAAATTGAGCAACTAAAAAAGTGTTTAGCGGATCCTAAAAATGAAATTGTACAAATCGACCCTCCTTTACCGCTACCGCTGGATCCTTCAATTCGGATTGTTGGCTGTTTCCCCGAAGCGGCCAACGTTTTTAAATCATCGCTGTCTCCGCTCCTCATTAACTTCAAGCTCTCAGATGGACGAAAATATCCCGTCCTATTCAAGGTCGGAGATGACCTGCGACAGGATCAGCTTGTCATTCAAATCATTAGCCTTATGGACCAGTTGCTGAAAAAGGAAAATTTGGACTTGAAACTCACACCATATCGCGTCCTTGCTACAAGTGCAAACGCTGGTGCCATGCAGTTCGTCCCGTCGACGTCGCTCTCCGCCGCTTCAACCAAGTACAAAGGTTCTATCCTTGCGTTCTTGAAAGCAAATAATCCAGATGAAAGGGAGCCTCTGGGTGTCAGAAAAGAAGCAATGGACACTTACATCAAATCGTGTGCTGGATACTGCGTTATCACTTACCTGTTGGGTGTTGGAGACCGTCACTTGGAGAACCTCCTTCTAGCACCGGACGGACATTTCTTCCACGCCGACTTTGGGTTTATCTTGGGTCGTGATCCGAAGCCGTTCGCCCCTATGATGAAGCTTTCCAAGGAGATGATAGAAGGGATGGGCGGTGCTAATTCGCCGAATTATCTTCAGTTTAAACAACATTGCTTCACCGCGTATACCACCTTGCGCAAGTCAGCGAATCTAATCCTCAACTTGTTCAGTCTGATGGTAGACGCGAATATTCCTGACATTCGTGTTGAGCCTGACAAAGCAGTGCTGAAAGTCAAAGAGCGGTTCCATCTTGAGATGAGCGAGGAGGAAGCGATTCGGCACTTCGAACAGCTGATTATAGAGAGTGTCAACGCGATCTTTGGGGCCGTCATTGATCGGATTCATGATTTGGTTCAGGGCTGGAGAGCGTGATCGGTGTGGCTGAGGACAGCTACCTACTACGAAGTTAACGAGAAGACATAATGATCTGGATGACAGCACCCGTGTTGTGTGTGTCACATTGCTTAAGATAGTAAGGCCTTTGTAGTGTCTCTTGTGCGCATTCTCTCCTCTGGCCAAAAGCAGACCATCCAGCCTGCAAGCTGTGCTTCCATTGAGTCCAGTGTAACGTTGCCTGCGCGGAAAAACCCACCAATAGTCCTAAGAGTCAAGGTCTAGGCTGTCGTGTACGAACCAGTAGTGGTGCATGTTGACTGTTGACCAGAGCCCAGAATTCGCCAAACGTACCCGATTTCTCCTTGGATGTTTTCTGGCGATATCGTCAACAACTAACCTTGCTTCCGCATCGGCCATCGTTCCCTTCGTGGATTCGTCTTTTTTCCAGCTCCGATTCCAGTTCGATCAAGATGAAGTATCATAATTGTACTCTCTCAAGTACCAATCCTATAGACATCGCGTCTCTTCTCAATGTCGAGTCCCTTATTCACCTCGGAGGTCAATGTACCCCTCCAACTGATCTGTCCAAAATCTTCGCTCAACCATCGGTTGGAACCACAGCGATCCTGTACCTGAATGGATCAGGCTACAATGTAGGCTCCACTGCAGAGACCCCAGGTGGTCAAGGACAAGAAACCATATCTAACAAGCGCGAATGGTTTGCACAGAATGTGGAGAACAAAAAGTTCAATAAACTTGCGATCGCCGCCGCTTCCTGTATTGGTCTTGCGGCGGCATCTCCGTTGATCGTCCCGGCTGCCCTAGGAGTTGTAGGCTTTGGTTCTGCTGGTGTTGGTGTTGGTAGGCCCCCTTCGTCCCCTCTTCTCTTATTAACCTACCCATATACGTTTTATATATACTAACGCTTGCCTAACTATGTAACAGGAACGGTTGCAGCAGTAGCGCAGTCAGCTATAGGAAATGTTGCTGCCGGGAGCTTTTTTGCAACTTGTACTAGTGCCGGCATGGGCGGTGCCGGGCTATCTACCCTTACAGGCGGACTTGCATACGCGGGTACTGCTGTCGGAACCGCGTGTTTAGCCACCGATAAAGTGATGTCGAAGTCCGGAAAACAATCGCAAGGTTGCGAAAACAACAGTGGAAATACCCAGCATGATGGAGGTGTTGACGAGCCTGGTTTGAAAGAAAACACAAACATGACGGATTCTCGCCTGGTTATCTGGAATTTACAAAAGGGAGACAAGAAATCGAAACAGCAACTGGAATCAGAGGCTGGGGGTGAACTGCGTTTCCGGAGCCAGACGAAGTTTGGAAGCATGGTTGACTTTTACGTCGTTGGAACTGGAGGATCTGTTTAGTTTGCTGGGCCGAGACTGTGAGAGACTTGAAGCACGGTTTATCAAAACAAGGATACAAAAAATTGGGTCTATCTTCTGCGGATCAAAAAGGAAACGTAATTCATTATCATTCATATGAATCCCATCAGGTATCAGAAGCAGCGACAATTTCTGCTAGGCGTTACATATACATACCGAGACAAAAAGTCATTGGGTTTTTTCTTGTGAAATTTCAAATTAGGTCATGCCAGTAGCCTACAGTAACCACCAGTAATGAATAATAGAGCTGCCCATTCTGTATGAGTTCCCAACTAGCCCCGAGACCCTACTAGTCCCCACCCTTAGATATTACCAGTAAGTCCCAGTGCAATTGCCCCATTGCCTTCCGCCCATTGACCACTGACATATCAATAATTTCTATCCAGTGCCCCAAACAAAATTCATCATCCAAATGAGGAAAATAGGCTCTTAAGATCGCGACTCGAATGTTTTGTCTTCAATCAGCTTTTGGAATGGGTTGCAACATTCCGCCGATCATTCTCTCTTGATTTTCTCCAGCTGCTTTTCCTATGCCATCTTGATCTATTTTCCGTTGCCTTGCATCCTCATCGTCTTCCGGGGTGCCTGGCTTACACGCCCATCCGTCAACAAATCGAAGAACTTCCTTTCTCCACCACCGCCTCATAACGAGCAATCTAAAGGGAACAAGTAAGATTATCAGGACCGGGAATGCCGGAGCTCCGGCTGTGAGAGTCAGGACGAATATCGCGACTGTCAGGGAAACTTGAAGCAATGTATACATATGGATGGGTAGATAAGAAGGTTTGGCGCCAGCTCCAGGTGAGAGTGAGATGGGAAGCGAAGGGAGCTCAGCGGGAGAAGAAAAGATGTACAAGAAGCGATAGAGAAGAGGGCTAGTGTAGATGATCAGCTTCTGTTGTCTTCGAGTATTCTGAACGGGGTTTGACCTACTTGACCGACAGGCTCTGCTCTCCCATGAAAAGAAAGAGTCCTGCCAAAACACTGGTAGGGGTCAAGCCCAAGACCTTCATCAAAGGCGGGCTAATAAACACCAGAATCCCACATGCATGAAGAAAATGAGACCACCGCTGCTCGTAAACGCGTTGTACCTCTGGAACTTGGCTCTCCCTTTCATCCCCAGTCAAAATTGGCTTCTCCTTTTTCTCTGCGTGAAGTAGGGATTCCGAGTGCAAGGGAGCCTGCGGCAACAGGCCATTGGCGGGTGGAATTCCCAAGATACCACACATCGCGGTGGTCGCCCCCAGAAGCATGATATCCAACGCAAACCCGCCAGGTTTTCGTGTGCCATACCGGTCGATGGTGCATATTATAGAGCTTATTTCATGGTCAAAGAAAAAGAGCATGGTAATAATAAGGCCTGGGATAATGGCCGCAAATACCCACCGCACAGGCAAATCCCAGAATTCAACGAAGAATCTTTCACGGTCCGGGGAGGTGGGTCGAAAAGATGTAGGGACGTCCAAGGTAGTCTTGTCTAGATGAGCCAACTCCCCAATATGCGGCATGCCGATGAAAAGTATGATAGAAATCGCCGCGGCATATTCAGATAACCCAAGTCGAATATATCTATGAAATAACGGCTTCCAATGTTGTGCCGTTGACAAAAAGATAGCCAGAAGCATAGTTCCAACAGCCCCAATCACTGCGTAGAGGAATGCAGCAAAGGATAAATTGCTATGGGCCCGCTCCAATTCCTGAATAGCTTTATGGAAATATATGATGCTATTGAGCAGAGAGAATATCTCAGTAGAAAATGTTGTTACATATTGCATGGTCCAATCGTGGGCATTGAAAGCGGCTAAAAGGAAATGTAGCCATCCCGAATGTATGAGCGACCAAGCCATGAATGGAAGGAACGGGATCTATAACTTAGAATCAGCTTTAATTATTCTTGTAATTATTGAAGCCACACTTGTAGAAACCTTGAAGGAATTGTGGCAAAGGGAATATATGTTTTCTGCAAGGACAGAAAACGGCCCAGTCACGCCAAGAATGGTCAGGGGTTGAATGGAAAATCTAGGGAATCATCGGTTAGGATTAAGGCAAATAGATGAACAGGTCATGTAGACTTACAGAGAAAATATGACACCACAGATACCAGTGCTGAATACAACTTCAATGGTTCCCCATTGCTTGCCCGTAAGGACATATAGGTCACCCGCAAACGTGATGCCGGGTAGGAGGTTTGTAAAAAAGACATATACTGCACTCGCAAAGACTAACTGGTTGAAGGTCTTCCAATCTGAGATGTATCGTCGCCTGATATTGCGGATATCCTGCTTTATGAGTCGGAATGGTTGTAGCGGCCCGCCACGCCCAAAGAGCGTTGCTAGGCGTTTGATGGCCCTGGACGTTCGGTCTTTTGGAGGCATGTCTTCATCTACATTGGGTTCAATGGCCTCTCCACGAGAACTCTCGGGATCAGAGAGAGAACCCCTTTCCTGACGGAAGAGGTGCCAAAACATATCACAGGCGCCACGTAGAGGCTTCCCAGAGAATATCATTTGATTAGATTGATCTCACGAGTGCACCTGGAGTCACTGATGGCCGAGGGCCACATATCCGTAACCCCGTGTTAAAAGTCATAGTTTCGTAAAATTGCGCTAATTGTCACCGGGAGAAGAGTAATCAAAGCGTCACAAACGTCAAATGGCAGAACAACTCATCCATAGATCTAGGGGAAATAGGAAGGCTTCTGGGCTCATGATTCTCTTATGATATGGAGACTCCCAAGCTCGATCGAGGGGAGGAGGTGCCAAGCCTGCGGAGATTTATAAGCCCGGCTAACGGAGGATATTTAATCCGTGCGTCGGCCCGGAATATCCATGGATGTACTTTTTTGATCGCGGGAGAGCGACGGCTGGGAGATTGCGCGTGGAATCCGCAGCAGTGGTGGTAAAGAGGGTTTCGCTTTTTTCCAATTGCTATTCCCAGAGATGGCGTCTGGCTTTGTTCCCCGCCAGGTTTTCAATGTATCGGAGAACATCCCGCGCTCCTACTTTCTGGGCCACCATCGGGCTGGTCTCATGAAGATGCGCTCAATGCTGGACTCGATCGACCATGTCATTGAGTGCCGTGACTTTCGCATTCCTTTCACTTCAATAAATCCCTTGTTTGAGCATGCGCTGGGAGATAAAAGACGGACAATCATCTACACAAAACGAGATTTAGCGGGCGATAAAAAACTTGCTATGCAGAAAGTTCGTTGCCGTATTTCTAGTGTCA